TCATACGCCAAGAAATATTCGGCGAGCGCTCGCAGAAAACTATATCACTGCCTGTTGGTAGAGCATGCAATATAAAAAGGCACACCGTTCGCAGAGGTCCTGGCCAGCCCCAAAACTTAATTGACCGCTGGCAAGAGAGCGTAAATTCGCGATCCGCCTTCTCCGGCAATTTACTGAGCAGTTTAATCTGCCCGAATCTGCAAACCAGATGAAGGCGTGATCTCAAACGCTTGAGAATGGGCAAAGAATTAGCCTCGTGCCCTAAAAGTAGCCTACCCGGACGCGTCAGAAGAGGAGCTATCAGAGACTAGAGCGGCAGGATTAGTCTCTCAACTGACCGAGTGGTCGGATAAGAGGCTAATTCACCGAATGGTCAGATGAGAGACTAATTCTTGCACTTTTTTAAAATTGGAAACGCCTTTGAGGAATTCGTGTATGAACTGTGAAAGCCATAGCACAGCGATGTGGACGCAGCAAGGAGCTGGCCGTGATGAGGAATTGAAGTACAGAAGTAGCTACGCCATGCGCAAACGCTGAAACATCCGTCAGTAAAGACCCAACATCAGAGGGAAGTTTAAAAATCGCTGGTCCTTCACACCCTTCGGCATCTTGGAAAAAGCAACAACACTGTTACAACTCTAATGAAACAGGGCATTACAGCTGCGAATGTAGCAAGCCGAACCTACAGTGAGGACGCTCAAAAAAGCTGCAGCGAACTCCAGACATCCTTGAGCAAGTGATCTGTAACTCGGTGGCTTGTCATCGAGGAAAAACGAGCTAGTTGAAAAGCAGATAGTTGCAAAGCGTGTTTGCTGGGCCTAGCTTGAGAAGGTTCATGATGCCTTTACAAGCGGATGATTAAGGGAGCGGTCAGGCTCCCTTGCAACTTGAAAATGGCGCTAAGCACAGGAATTCCGTCTTTGTTAGAATAGATGAAGATGGCAGATTGTGCTTGGGATGAACGCGCTACCGTAACTTGGATTGTCCGGTGCAGACATCAAAAACATCCTCGGAGTAGCACAAACAAAATAATCATCCGAAGATTTGTCTCACGTAGTGCTTTGAGACGGAGATGGGAAGAAAATAGCCTGAAGGTGATTCTGAAAAGGCATGTCTAGCCAAAGACTGAGACGTGTTCTTGGAAAAGGCATGTTAGAGCGAATTTCTCAGCATTGCGGAGTAAATTTGGAAACGAAAGACAATCTTAACCCTCCTGACGTTCATGTTGTGGACAGCTTAGCAGGAGCCAGGCTGGTGCGAACGGAGGAGAACGGTACGCTTAAGCCCGCGTGCGCTGTGGAGTAACACTTTCTAGCCACCCATTGAGACAACTGGCATGCAACCTCCCCATGAATCGAGTGTTAGACGTAATCGATCGGGCAGTGAACAAGGAAAAAGAGGAAGAAAAGCCAACTGAGGCTAATGCTGTGTCATCAATGAGGCATATGCACTGGATGACTTCGCAAAGACTTCGTCTATCGTGATCTCAAAATGTCTTGTGAAGGAAAACTAGATTGTCGAGTGAAGCCCGAAATTGTCACCACATGATGACGTAGAATTTCCTTTGGACTGAGGTTTTCTGCTTCACGGCTATAAGTTGTCAGAATTGTCTGCTGCTTACAGGAAGCAATTACTGTAGGGGTTTTGTTAGCCGCTGATTTTGAATATGACCTTCGAAAGGCTACAGTCGTATACCTTAGATGACTACTTGGGCCTTTTTGACTGAAAGCCGTCACTAGTGAAGTGACTACGCTGGTTGTAATCAACATCGTTTTTTTTGCTTCAACCCATGCATTTAAGACTAGGTAAGCATACGGTGGGCAATCGTACGTCGAAATTTCGCTAAAAGCTCGGATTTAGTCAACTAAATTATATATTGTTTATGGTAAAAGAACGTTAGCATTCAGTCAAAGAGATAGCGTTTCGAAAAAACACTTCAATAAAAAATAGCATTTTGAAAACGATTTGGCGGTAACTTTTGTGTAAATATATAACTATTGATGCAACTAGATGAACGTTTTAATTGCAATAATACGAAGCAACATTACAACTATTGATATATAGGAACACATGAGCATACATAAATTAGACTCAACGTTCGCTATCTACAAAGAAAAATACTCAACAGTTTTATGCTTATTTTGAAAGCATTCCAAACAGAAAAAAATTTTTTCCATTCAGTAAATCTAGTCGTACTTCGTAGCCTTCTTGCTGTAAACGGGGAATGACTTCGTACTAATTTCAGTCCATACATCGGTGCCTAGCCTTGCGTTTCGGTCCTGTGTTTCTTCCAATTTGCGTTTGCTCGTTGAAGATTCGGTCTGTGCAACTAGCCAAGATCGGACCAAAGGTTTTTTGAAGTCGACCAATTGCATCTTTATTTCGTTACCGTATTAGAAGTGCCAAGCATTAGCAACTGCTGCTTAGTCAACGATGTGAAAGAGTAACCTTATGTACTCTGTGGCGGTTTTCCTGATAAATAGATAGTAGGCGGTCATCTGGTCGGAAATGTCGATGAAGTTTTCCTGAGTTATAATCCGCGATGACAAAAGATTTTTTTAAGTCGTTGGTCGTGTTTTCGTCAATTGTTGACAGCATAATAATTCGTTTGTTCCTCCTTTCAGCACTATGATTCCTTTGATTCTGACGCGCAATAAATTCTTCGCGTATCAGTCACTTCATTCGCAGCTTTAAGCAATCCTCACCCTGTTTTCCTTGATTGTGCTTACGGAATTGGTATCCCTTGCGAATAGCTTCTCCGTTAGGGGAAACTTGTGTACCAGTTATCGGTACATAAGGTTCTGCCACAATCCAGACGACCATCCATGAGCTTCATAGCGACATCTTCGACTACACTTCCTTCTCTAAATTGCTGCTGTTTCCCCGTGTATAACTTATATACTCATTTTAAAAGTATATCCGCCTCTAGTGCATAGCTTATACTTATGTCTTTTTTGGGCATATATTGGCGAAACACGATTCTTCCCTTGAATGTAATCTAGGATTCGTCGATGCAAACTCCTTTGCGAGGTTTATATACTCCTTGGAACCGTAGATTTGTTCCATCCACGAAATTTTGAATTTTGTACAGCCTACTGCTTTTGTCAGCAGTTTCATTGTCTGCGAAATGGATATTTGCTAAAAGATCTTCAATGGTCCTTGCTATTGCTTTAGCACCAGTTGGGTCGCCTGAAATCTTTATCTTTATCTTTATCTCATACACTAAACGTGTGCCAAAACCAGTGTAGTAAGGGAACATTGCTAGGGTAAAATAGTCTTTTAACCTGTCACTTCCCGCCGGAGCAAACAGTAAATAAATTACCTCAGGTGCTGAAAAAGAAGAAACTCTATTTAGTTGAGGGAGGTCAGGTGACTGGCCTTGGGGAATGTCACTAACATTTTTCTGAGCTGTCCAAAACGCCTGTGATTGGTTTTCGTCAGGTATCCACCAACCTAACATCACCACAATTGTAGACCAATAATCGCGGAGCGAAGCCAGTCTCACAATTCCCATTTGCATTGCGAAGCAAAAAAACCTTTTCAGCTCAGATACTGATGTTTCCGACCAAGAGCAAGCCGTAAGGATTTGTCTCCTCAGTAATTTGATCGAGTGAATCGTCATCAACAAAAAGCCGGTAGAAATCCATTGAGTCTATACAGTCCGCCACAAAATCTGAACACACCTTAGAGGAATCGGTCAAATTATGCCTCCTAAAAAGCGGAATAGCTTGCATCCACACGTCTTCAACGTCGTCGGCAGCCTATTCCGTCTCGCCTTCATCTGTTTCTTGTGTATCAAATGGGTGATCCTGTTCTTCGGCACCCACTGGAGGACCTCTGTCTTCTTCAACCTGGTTATCAAAATTCGATCGAAGCTATTTTCTTCACCGTCCATGACAAAGTAATAGTTCGATTATGCGGGACAAATCGAACCCATTATGTGATAATTTTGACCATTAACGTGACAGATCAGGATATTTTTGTGATTGTTAGCTCGAAATTATTCATTCATACGATATAACTGACGTAATCAAGTACGAACTCGTAGCGATAAAATGGCTTATGGCTCAGAACATGGACTGGAGAGATCAAGTAGGTTTCCAGGCATCATGGCACCTACCCGATTCCCCTGACCGGGCACTTGCACGGTCAGCCGCCTACGTTCGCGCATCACGGACCTTGGGCGACTGGATTGAGACTTGTACGGGAATACCTTCTCGAACGGGAGATTGATAGATAACGCTTTCGGAGACGAAATTACTACTTGGTCATAGTATATGCATACAGTAAATGGGAAGAGGAGAGATGATTGGTATGAGAAATATTTCGGCTGCAAAAACTGAGAAATTTTGTAGTTTTTCGCGACTGCCACAAAAGATTGTGTGAGACAATGGTACGCAGTTTAGGTTGAGTTTTGTAAGTATGACCGTGGCAGTATGAGTTACCCAACGTTCAGGTATATTCTCCTCACTCGTTTAAAGTCGATTATTCCTCGTTAGTGTACAAGCGCACATTTTCTAGCATGTTGTTGGTCATGATTCATGATCCCTCCGTTTTGCTAACTTTTTGTTTTGTTTGTTGTTTAGGCTTAAATGTGTTTGGAGAAGCGTGAGTTCTGCATGACATATATACTACACTTCTCACCTGGAAGAAGCTTCTCCGCCAACATCCTGGAGTTGTGCAATTGCACATAATAGCAAGGCACCTGAGTGTAGTAAGAAGCTTCTTTTTCGCAGGATGTTAGTGCTAGTGCTCATAATGGCCGCGGCAACATGTCCTCGTAGTTCGTAGCTACGGGGCGACGATGTGCTACGACGGCGAGATGCGCTGGCGATGTGGCGGCACAGATCAAAAAGTCTACCAACTGACCTATCGACGAGATGGTTATTTGCCAGGTAGCTGGCGAGGAACTGCTCCGCGCGCGGACGGCGCAGACAGCGCAGAGAGGCCGCAGCGTGCGGAAACCGAGGCAAGGAATTCGGCGCAGACGGCGCCGAGACAGTGCGTCTCTGCGCGGAGACGCAGCCGCTGGAATGTGGCGAGCGCGCGCGGTCGTCGCCGCGGCGGCAGTGTAGGGCGGAAGAACGTGTTCGAGCGGCCAACTAGCGCCAACCACACCACGTCTTCTTCTTCTTCTTCTACTTCGTCGTCGTCGTCGTTCGCTTCTTCCCGACTTCGCTTCACTATTCGACGTCTCATAGTGACCCGACGGCCATGCCATGCGCGCCAACGGACACCGCGTTGAAAGCAATCTGCAGGTAATTACAGAAAAATTCATTTCTGCTTAAATTCATTTTGGTTATTCATTTTTATTCTGGAAAGAAGTGCTGAAGCTGCAGGATTGCGGCGTTTATCATTTCCACTATCACATTTCCCCTTTTTCGCAAGTACCTTGGTTCAAGCTTGCGAAAAAAGTTGCTCTTTCTCGTTTATAACTCTAAAAGCCTTACGATCTTTGTCATTAACCTAGCAATGTTCCACTGAATCATTGAATCTTAACCTTGTTCAGAATCCATTGTTTATCTTTTCGTTCATTGAGATTCAAAATTGTTGCTTCTTTTGCCTAGTTCCTGAGATATTAACCAGATTTTATTTTTTTCTGCCCAAAGAAAATTGATGCTTCGTAAGCTGCTATATCTCAACCAGTTTTCTTGCTGTTATGCAAAACGTACTTTCAACAGTATCAATAAGTATATATGCTAATTTTGGTTATCCGATCTTTTCAGCTACTTGCAGTTCCTCTGCGCAACTTGTTATCTTTATTTGTTTGTTTTCTCTATTGCATCAACATCAAGCGACAAAAAATTTTGCGGCTTTGTACACCACCAAGGACAAATTGTACGCCAGGGCGTGCTTTCGCGTGGAAAAGGTTACGATATATTCGTAAACAACACCATCCTTTTTCCTTCAATATCGTTCTTCTGAGTTGAGTAGCATGCGAACAATTGCAGACAGCAGTTTCAAGTACATGTGTAAACTATCTATTCTGATCTTCTGATCTTCTGAACTTCTGATGATTTTTTGATGCATTGAATTCTTGATTTTGCTTCTTATGCAATGCTCTTTGCATTATCAGTGTTCTGATTTATAAGAATTCTCATTTGGAAATGCAATTGTTCTATCAGAAATGATGTCACTCGCTCGGAATTCAGATATTCCATCATCGCATCTCCGCCGAAGATTCTTCTTATGTTTATTAGCTCTGTCCTGATTTAATTTCCGATCGATGTGTTTCGAGTGAGTCAGTGTGAGCGATGCTGTGTTATTGGCGTTGATTCTATCATTGCATCTTTCGCAAATCGATTGGAAAATCGATTAGCAAATGATCCGTGAGATGGGCCGAGTGCGGATATCGCCAAGCGTTTTTGTGACACCAACACTGACAACTATGTAAACGCAGTGTTATATTCAACAGATCGCGAAGTGCGCTGTAGTTCTATTCAGCACATACATTGTCACTGCATTCACAAAAATGACTTTTGTGTTTTTGCACACCACATCAGAGCCGAGCGATTTGGCCTTGTCAGTCGATCGATAATCGTGGATCGGTCAGCTGTTTTGCAGCGAGTCGTGTCGGCCCGAGTGTCGTTGGAATGCGAGTTTATGATCGGATCGGGATAAAAACCAATCCTCTGTCCTACGATCGCCGCATTCCAGTCGCGCTCAAGTACCGCAGAAAACGCACACTGTAACAGTTTAAAGTCTGGATAGAGTAGAGATGGCTGTGGAGATGAGATTGGAAATCTCTGCAGTAGAGAGTGTCAGATTTGCGCAGATTGTTTTATTGCACATAGTCGCCCTGCAGAAGTAGAAACTCGTACGCATGCGCAAAATGTTCGCATCATCTATTGCGAAAAAGTGTCTAGCCATTCAGAAAATCTTGTGTGCTTCAGGTAAAAATACATGGAGTACTTCTTAATGATAAAAAAGGGAAAATATACACTTTATAGCAATAACGAACTTTCGCGAACATTTGTCTTCTATCACTGATGTATTTGTTTGTTGACTTTCCAAACTCAGGAATGAGTTTTGATGAATCCTGTCAATAATGAGAACGGTGTAGGTCCTCCGCGGTTCCAACTTCCCAATCTGCTTCAATGTTTTATGCCGTAGTTGAGTGACTAATTAGGGCGTATCTTGAAGCACTATGCGGAATGAGACGTCTGGAACGCCATCCCGCGGTTACTCACAGTCTGAATACAGTTTTTTTTTGGAAGCACAATTTTAGCAGACACCTTATCGAGTTCACGCTGCGCTTTTTCTTTTTGTAAAGTTGCAAATCTGGCTGACTCAGTCTCTTATATAATCAAACTACTAGATTATAATCGTCGGGTTGTCGGTTTAGCCATGACACTATAATGTTTAGAGCGAATTTAATCTTGGTTTATATTTTTTTTTTAACTTTGAAAAACATTTACAGTTCCCGATCAAAAGCAGATGTTGTAAGAATTTGTAGGACAGTGGAAATGGGTCAAGAATGCAGTCACTTCTCGTACAAAAAAAGAATATACATAATGTCAACGTAGGGGGAGACATCGGATGTGTTTTATCCGATGAATACCACGGATTTTCAGATTGTGGAGAGGTCGTCACGATATCGCGCCACCACTTGCGTGTCAAGACATCATTCTATGCTTGTTACCAGAACAGTAAACTTTGTTAGGCTTTTACATGATTCTCTCCCTCTGTGACCATATTGTAGAGGGGCTCAGCCCATGATTCCCCTTAGAAATGCTTTTTAGCTCTCAACTATAGGAAAGTATGTAGTCGAGAGACTGCATGCCAGTGGTGCATTTGCACAGTGGGCATGCACAAAACCCTACTTTTGACAGAAACTTAGGCTAGTAGGTCTAAAGATAAACATAGAATCTTGCAATGTCAACATTTGCATAAACAACAACATGAACACATTGCAAGGGGCTCAAAAGTCGAGATTGTGTGATTTTTTTGGCGATTTTGCACGCGCAGATTGCCCGTTTTGGAGGCTTTGATTGTGCTCACGCGCAAATGTTGTTGGCGAATATTGGCACCGCAGCGATATTATACCTTCAAGTCTACTAGCCTATGGTAGTTCCCGTTATTGTTTTGGTGTGTGTGGTATCCTAGTGCACTATTAATGTGCACAGCCAAATTTGCCTTAGTGGAGGCAGTGTCCTGGATGACTTTGGATGCATAGACTTCCATATTCACTTATTGACTGGGGACTTTGAATGAGCCATTGCCCAACTGGGAGCAGTTCTGTGACCCAGAAACTCAAGTTCATATTCTTGCCTCGTTCCTATCACGTACCCTCTGGTTCAACGCGATTGGCGGCTGGAGGGCGGGGCGCTTGCTCTTTGCACCTCTTTCGTGGGCCTGCTCTCTGGTCATTTTCCCACCGTGAGCATGGGAAAGTTTTAATCACTAGAGAGCACTGTCGCGAAAGAGGCGCTGAGCCAGGTGAGGCGGCCGCGCGGACGTGAGCTCCACCTATCAGCAGCCAATCCGGTTGAATCAAAGGGTAGGTGATGCGCTGCTTGGAAGAGATACCGTATGGGCGAGAGTTTCGACCACGGCGAAACATGAGCTGCGTCTGGGCAACGGACCAGTCAAGATTCTTATTCAGTTCTCAGAAGGGGTGTTACTCAGAGTGGCATGGACACTGCCGTTCACTCTACCTTCATCCTCCATTAGAAAACTCTCCACCCTCTTATTGTTGGGGTTACGGTCTTCTATGCCTAAATTGGGTGTACGTAACTGAAAATATTCAGGATGTGCGTGTTGGTCGACATCGCGATAAACTTGAACTGATTCGTGACTCTCTACGACCTTTCGAGCAGACCGGCAGCGATGCTTCTGCTGCGGCACCGGAGCAGAACATTACGCATGCAGAGTCGCATTCACCCGTAGTGGATCCATCGGTGAATTCTGGGATTTTGGAGCAACAGCGTGCAATGGTTGATAATCTAATAGCACAGGGTTATGAGCAGGTGCGTGTATAGTTCTTTACATTACATCTTCCATTTTGTGATGAATTGTTGCTTTCGCTCATTTCTTGAAATGAGGACAAACATTACATCGCGTGTTCGTGATGATAAATCCAGCCTTTGCGCGAACTGTAGCATTTCCGTTCTTTTGTTAGTTTAATCGCTCATCTCGTTAAGAAATCGGAACTGCTTGTGACTCTCATACATTGCCGGAATTTCAATGAGTCACTCTGACTGCGCATTCCTTTGTTCCAATACGTCAGCATTAATAATAGCGGAAGTATGAGAGCGAAGCTATGATTTCTTGCAAAGGCACCATTTTTGTCGTTCTCTGTGTTTGTCATAATGGAGGATGAGTGGCGATAAAGTCGTGCAGCCCCATCGATGCGCGATATCAAAAGAAATAAGCCTAATGAATTGTATTGCCGATTTGGCATACATGATTCCTGATATAATTGGAGGTTCATGTTGAATAAAAAAAATGATATAGAAAAAACGTCTTTTTGGAATGATATGATGTGAGTTGAATCAACTGCTTACTTCCAGGACGCTGCCTACTATGCTCTGAAGTTGGTCAAGTTTGCAAGCACAGCAGCTGCCGTCGATGTGCTCAAACTAATAAATCATGATCATGCGAATATGGAGGAGATGAAGAATGTGAGTATAACTGCATATGCAATGACAAAAATCTCGGCCATAGAAAGAAATTATTCTATTGCCCAGCATTCATCTAGGGTTTCTCCACTCAGCTCGAAAATCTCTTTTTTTTTCTTCTTCAAAACTTTTTGCTCCACCATTTCGCTGCTAGCAAATATATATTCGTCATCATACTTATTCGTAGAAGATGGAACTTGTGAAAGTTGCATCTTAGCAAAATATTCTTCGTTATATATTCCTAACTCCTCCTGGTGGTCGAAGAATTAGTTTTAGGAGCGTCTTTTGAGCGTCCTTCCACAGTCGAAGAACTCCGCAGCTGCGAATGGGAATGCTCACATGCAGAATAAAGTAGGTTTAATATTCATTCTCCAAGCTCATATGTGCATGGCTGTATTTCAGATGCCAAACGGGGCGTCAAACGGAAATTTGTATCCCATGCAATTTGGTAATGTCGAGGACAGGTAATGATTTGGTTCCTTCTTTCTCGGAGTAAATTCTTGAGCATTTTAAAGTTGTTATCTCAGTGCATCTTCACGTTCTACTTCTCCGTTGCCTCCTCAAATGCCTTCGCCTACGTCTGGTGCTATGCCACCGTTTGTATCATCATCGTCTGGACATATGGTTCCCACCACCACATCGTTTGTTTCAATGGCCGGACCATCAAGCTCATCACCTCACTCGGGCTCTTCAAATACAACACAGTCCAGTGGCTTGGCGAACTCTTCACAGCACAAGGCCTTGCGAAGACAATATACGCCCGTAACACCTGATTACCACAGGACTCATGTGCACATATCGACGTATGCTTTTAATCTCTTCGCCTGATTAGAAAGTGCACCCTTCTGTTTTTGATTTAGAACGCCTTATGCTCAAGATTTCTATCAGCAGCAAGTTCGCGGTCAGCAAAACTACAAACCTTCAATCTATATTGAGAGAGGCGCGGAAAGGTGTGTTTATCTGCAGAGAGTGCTTTCAAATCTTAATATGTGTTTTCTCTTTACCTCTTTTGTGTGGGGGTCGGGTCATAACTTCGGAGAGGATTTGATCATTCATCGCTAAGTGTTTTTGGATTTTTCGCAGATTTTGGCTTTAGAAAGTAGCGTCGAGTCGTCGACCGCACGTCTGATCGTAGAGCGGACTCGCGGCGCGGCTGAAATTTCATAGTGCGACTTGTATAACTGCGATTTGTACTGTATGGCACAAGGGGGTCGTTCGACGTGCTCCTCTACGACCGTTCGTGCAGTCACCGATTCGACGATGGCTTAATCACATAATAATGCAGATTTTGAATTATGTACTGCTGTATAGTCTAAATGTTAGATAGAAATTATGTTTCCAAGCTAGAAAACTTTGTAAGTTGAGTTTCCCATTAACGTGCTTGCCTTCAGACCTGTCGGCATGATGAAGCAGCACTATGTGGTGAGGGACAGCTATAAAAATCCACTTGATACGTCAATGTCGGCTCCAATGGGACAATCGACTTCGCATGTGCAGATTGGAGGTGTATCATCGCATCTTGGTCGTTACGGACAGCAGCCTCATCCTGTCATTCGAACGACTTTCAGTGCTGCTCCTTTGAAAAGCATGGTGAATATCAATGTGTCTCCGATTAACGCGGTCAGTATTACTATTTTTGAGTTTATTGTTGTGGACATCTTTTGAAGGAAGTTCTCCTCTAGGCTAATGAAGCTAGAACATATCGCCTCGATGTAGCTGGCAGAGATGGTGTCTCTTCGGTGCATGGAATACCTGGGCAAATCACTGGAGTCCAAAACATCATGGTTGACCCAGATGTTGCTCATCGCGGTTATATCGGCTATGAAGATGAACTACGTCCCAAACACCCCGCCACTGATGTGACACCTTCAACATCGAACGATCAGCCGATGAGACATGATCGATTGGAACGTGCCTATGGATTATCTTCGCATCACGCTTCATCTAGGTGCGCATTTTTCAATTTTTTCTGAATTTTTTGTATTACATTTTACAGAAATGAGACATCTCAACCTTCGGTAGTTCGATGCACTTCGCCCTTGCCTGAATCCATATCGAATCGGCTAAAGCAACAAAAATATGAGAAATATGTGAAGCCATGTAGACCGCGAATGTTTTGCTTCTTCATGGAACAACATGTGGAACGTCTCTTAGCACAATATAAAGAAAGGATGAAGCGAGCGCATCAGGTGCGTTATGGTTTTTCTTCTTATTTTCAAGATTCTGCTGTTTTTGCTGTTTTCTCATTCCATGAAGTGTACAGTATGGGCGTTATTCGTAAGGGCTCTACAGTGGCCATTGTTTAATCGTAAAGTATTTCTCAATCTCGCTATCTACTCAAATGTTCAAACAGAACAAGGAATTTCAGTTGCAACGAGAAATGGAAGCTGCGAATCTGCCGGAGTCGATGAAACAAAAGATGCTCGATTTCTTGCAGCAGAAGGAGTCCAGGTATAACTGAGAAATAGCTTTGCAGTTTGAAATTTCTTTATTTTCGAAATCGACAATGCAGTAGTTAATTCAGGTATATGCGTTTGAGACGTCAAAAGATGAACAAGGATATGTTTGAAGTACTGCAGCACATCGGTGTCGGAGCTTTCGGTCGTGTCTCACTTGTGAAGAAGGTAATTTTATTCAAAAATTACCCCTTCTTTTTCTTCTTTAAACAGTTTTGGATTTTTGTCTCTCAATAACATGGAAAGTGATTCTTGCATAGGTTTACGTTGATGTGCTGTGTTTGGTGTAATTTTGAAAAATAACCTTATCTCTATATTTGTTTTTCATTTTGGCTCATGCCCTCATTCTAGAAGGACTCTGGTCAAGTATACGCCATGAAAAGCTTGTTGAAGAAGGATGTCATTATGAAACAGCAGGTAACTCTTCTTGTACCTTTTCCTCATAGTAAACATACTGTATCCCTCTGCTGCAATAACTTATTGAGTTTTCCTATCACAGGCCGCGCACGTGAAAGCGGAGAGAGATATTCTTGCCGAAGCGGATTCACCATGGATTGTAAAGTTGTTCTTCTCATTCCAAGATGATCGATGCCTATATTTTGTGATGGAATATGTACCGGGCGGTGACATGATGCAATTACTAATAAACAAGGGAATTTTTGAGGAAAAACTAGCACGGTGTGTTCATTTTATTCACTTGTTTACACTTTTTCAAAATTATGGTTACAGCTTCTACATAGCCGAGCTGACCTGCGCTATAGAATATGTTCATTCACTGGGTTTCATTCATCGTGACATCAAGCCGGATAATATATTGATAGATCAGCAAGGTCATATAAAGCTGACTGATTTTGGGCTATGCACCGGATTACGCTGGACCCATGACCGAAGATATTATGGCCCTGAAAATGATTCTGAGCCCTCCCATATGAGAGTCGATTCGTTTTCGCTTCCTCCTGAGGTTGCGGCTATGGAGCAGAACATGAAGGTCAGCTTGCATTGATATCATCGCCAATTATTTTATCTTTTTTTTTTGATGGCCGGTTTTTTGGAAGTGCTCTTGAAACTCGGAAGAACAAACTGCCATTTCACTTTTGGCATTGGCCACATGGATACTTCTGAAAGCGTTGCCTCCATTCCACTGTTACATTTTGTAGGTCTTGAACGTTCGCCATCACAAGAAACGTGATCAAGCGCATTCTGTTGTGGGGACTGGTAACTACATGGCGCCGGAAGTCATATTAAAGATTGGTGAGCTGATTAATTTTGTAGTTTTGCGGCGAAAGTCACAATTCTACGATCAAATTTAGGTCACACACAGCTTTGCGACTGGTGGTCAGTTGGTGTCATACTGTACGAAATGGTTTTTGGTAGACCTCCGTTTATGTCCGTTGCTGATGATCCGAAAGAAACTCAGTACAAGGTAGGTTGCGCATTCTAACTGATCTGAAATTGGTGGAATCTAATTTTTAGATTATTAATTGGCCACGATATCTTGACGTATCACCGCGAGCCGGAGGCGCTCATCTTTCGCGTGACTGCATCTCACTTATACAGCGTCTATGCTGTGACAAAAATAATAGAATAGGGTCAGTTGGGGCGCGAGAAGTGATGGACCATCCCTGGTTTAGAGTAAGTGGTTGTTTTTATCAGTGATTTGGTGTTCTAGTTCTTGATGGATTTAGGGCATTGATTTTAAAAATTTGCGATCTACACGGGCTGAATATATACCGAGAGTTGAGCACGCTGAAGATACGTCCAACTTCGAGACTGTTGAGGTTTGCTAGAGCTGTTGTTAGTCTCTTTTCTACTGTTTTGTACATAGGTAACCGAGTCACCTTTCGAAACCTTGGGCAAAAGGGCTCCAAATAACCCGGCTTTCTACGAGTTCACTTTTCGTCACTTCTTTGACACCGATGGCCAAGGTTGCCCAAGTCTTCGACCACCACAGAAACGTCCACCACTTGCCCCATTGTTTGAAAGCACTGGAGCGAGGCATGAGACAGTGAGCAGCTCGGAGTCGATTGTGATTTGATGTAGGAGAAGTCTGAAATAATAACATTTGCTCGTCTGAGTTTGAAGGATACTCCGTCAAGAAGAATAAAAGGAAGATGAGATGGATGAGGCAAGTCTCATGTCTAGGTAAGTTAAAATTTTCTTCTAGCTTCCTTTCAAATTCAAATTAACATAGCCTTTTTCTTATAAATTTTTCCTTCTCTAGATAAACTTCATATCCTTTGTGCTTATTTATATAGCTTGCTTTCAGTTCATGTAGTTTTTTTTTCATTAGTCATGGAGAGGGGGTCTTATTCTGAGATTGAATTGCCAATATTGATATATGCAACCTGAAATTTGCTACTTGACCATAGCTACATGTAAAGTAAGAATTGTTCGCTGTGATTGTTCAAAATTTTAACTCTATAAGTCTATTAATTTCAACTTTTGAGATACTTGTGGCGTAGATACGTCATTTGTCTGACCTGCTGATATTCTTTCTCTGCGTGCCTTGTCCTGTTGCCTTCAGACTAAACTGCTGCTCTGCTATCTTTCAAATCCAGATGTTAACGTTCACGCGCTAATGACATTCTTCTCAACATTTCCATGGTAGCTACGGTAGAATTAAGACGGGTGCAGAATCTCAGGGTTCTTCATTTCAAATTTTATGAGAATTCTGCTATTCTTCTTCAGAAAGGTATGCTATTTTCGATTGATGCCTTGATTGATTGTGATGTTTTTTTCGTTCGATTTCCTTTTTATTTATTTGGTTATGTATTTTGAGCTGCTTAAAAGTAAGTTGAGCTTCTTGTGAACGATTTGTAAAACGTAGTACTATTGTCGTATGTTAATATCTTGCTCAACGAATTACGTAATGTGAAATTATGCAAAAGAATAAATAATTTATGAATAGTGTGGGTTTTTAACATGACGGTTCCTACACTTCGAACAGTGTCTCAGGATTAACTGTGTGAAATATGTTCTAGGATAAAGTGGTCTGCAGATGCTCGGTAAAGTTTTTGTTGATGTCATTGATGTTCAAAGCCGCAAAAGCAGAAAACGTCTGCAGAGGTGAGGAGCTGTACTATCGCCTTTTTTGGACGATGACCGTAACAAAAATGTCAGTAGGCAGCATGAACAAGAGATGTTTAGAATGCTTCATTCCCTGTACGGCTTTTTGCCTCCCTTGATCTTTTTTGCAGCGAGGATTTTACTGGTGTTTCGCTATCTAAGGAAGTATCAATCGCATGAAAGGCAGAGAAATTGTACATGCTGATAATTAAATCCGCATCACGCACTGCTCAATTATAATGCAAATGCAGGAGATGCACACTGGCCGCTTTGGGTGAAAAGGAGAACGTATTGGAACGGGTGAGCAATCTGAAGTGGCCTACAGATTGCGGAGCAGGGGTTTCTATATGTTAAAAGGGGTGAGGGAACTTACATACACAATAAGGTTGCCGCCGCCTAGTTAACGGAGTTCATGACCTCTCATGAACTACGCTAACTAGGCGGCGGCAACCTTATTGTGTATGTAAGTTCCGTTCCCCGTTAAAAGAGCTTTTGCTTAGCATCAAGTACCATTCGGTAGAGCAGGCCTTAAAGGCACCATCCACTCAAAGTGGGGGGTCACGAGATTCGATGGCGTACTAATATGGGCCCCCACGCTAGGCCAATCCCCAAGTAGCGCCGCAAAAGATTCCTTCTTAAGCGAGAAATCCGCTCCGGAAGGGACGTAATGCGGAGCTGGTCACTCCGCCCATTTTGCAGGTTCGGCGGGCTGCGGCGCTGATACAGTGCTGGACAAAATTATAGGTCCACTCTAAAAAGTGCCATAACTCACTGTGTTTTCAATAAAATGCTCCAAAATTTGGTATAGCCGTGTGTTTACCAGCCTACTATCACTCATCAAAATGAGTCTCGTTTTCGTGTAGTTATTCAAGAAAAAATTTAAAATTTTGAAAAAAGCAGGCGTGAAGGCTGGACAAAATTATAGGTCCACCTGGAGTTTTTACTGATTAAAGCACTTCTTAGCTCCCAAATTTTTTTGGGTAGGTACACATCTAAAAACGTTAAACAGCTGCTTTAGTCAAGCTGTGTCATATCTCCAAAAAGAACTGATTATCTGCTTTTTTGTCTTGAAAATGCTTTCACATGTATTTCGCTCCACAAACCTGCGTTGAGCCAGAAATTCTGCAGTTTCTCAGCTAGATCGGAAGCGACGGGGTTTCATCTACCTTCTGGATGCTTTTTGATGTGAGCATTGCGGAAAAAATCTGACTTTTTACTGCTGAAGCAAATCCGACATCGACTCAATCGGGAGAGAAAGCCTCAGTTTCTGCCCTAAAACCCTTTATGCATTGTCATTATAACTTTAAGATATTGTAGAAGCATTCTTTACACAAGAATAAAGCTGTTCGCCAACTCGCAAGTGTCCACAAAGCTGCCTTGCTTCTTTTTCGAGACATGAGTTGTATGCAACGTAATGATGATTTTACGCAGATCCAAAATAGCTTGCCGAGTGCTACCTCGCTTAGATTTTTGACAGTAATTATTTCCTAGATAGTGGATACAGCTTGTAGTGTATGTTAGCACATGATTCTTCTGAAAATTTTGATTGGAGCCACAAATAGCTTTGGTGCTTGTCGTAATCAGTTTCTGTAGGTTGATTTCAGTAATTATACTCGAATGCTAGGATGTCTAGAAAGTTGTAACCATGGAATACGGACTTCCCTTCGTAGAAACAATGCCTTTACTTTACTTTATGCTTCTGAGAACATCGTAAAAGAAGTTTGAAGGAAGAAATTTGAGCTCAGGAGTGCAGTAATGTCGATGTCGGATTCGCTTCAGCAGTAAAAAGTCAGATTTTTTCCGCAATGCTCACGTCAAAAAGCATCCAGAAGGTAGATGAAACCCCGTCGCTTCGCGAAATACATGTGAAAGCTCAAGGCAAAAAAGGAGATAATCAGTTCTTTTGGAGGTATGACACAGCTTGACTAAAGCAGCCGTTCAATTTTTAGATGTGTACCTACCTAAAAAAATTTGGGAGCTAAGAAGTGCTTTAATCAGTAAAAACTCCAGGTGGACCTATAATTTTCTCCAGCCTTCAAGCCTGCTTTTTTCAAAGTTTTAAATTTTTTCTTGAATAACCGAACGAAAGCGAGACCCATTTTGATGACTGATTGTAGGCTGGTAAACACACGGCTGTACCAAATTTTGGATTATTTTATTGACAACAGAGTGAGTTATGGCACTTCTTAGAGTGGACCTATAATTTTGTCCAGCACTGTATATGCCGGGCGTATAACGCGCCGCAGCCCTGCGACTTGCATTGCGCCGTTCTCCAAAACGGGGTTTCTTGGTTATTTCGCGGATTCTCGACTACATATTCGGGATTAGGACCTTCAAGAGGCTTGAAAGCGACAAAAACATGGAAGTCGACAATTTGAGTGGACGGTGCCTTTAAAACATTGACGACCGCTTGACGCACATGGTGTGTCAAGGTTGATACACCAGGTGTGTCGTTGAAATGGCTACTATTTAGTGTTAAACCCACTCCGGGAGTTTCCTTTTGTACTGGATCTAAACCCAACCTCTACATTCCAGCGTTAGCATTCCAGCGTTACTGTAGGTGTACTGTAGATGGAATTGTGCGTGATTTTATCTAGAAAATGTTGACTGGTCCATGAAACGCCTTGGTCGTCAATGTGTTAAATTAGATGTGCCAGCATGAACGAATCACCCATCGCTCTTCATCACGATAGGATTACGATAGGAACCCATCATATACATCGTGGAACAGGCTGTTTGAAAAAAAAAGTTCTAAAAAATCTGGAAAGTTATGCGGCGTTTCAAACAGCCTCATTTCATTAGTGAACTTCTTCGAGTTTCAAGCGTCTAAATGGTTCTATCAAATTTTTGAAAAACACTGAAAAACGTTATTGCTTTTCACTTGGCGTAACTTAGTAGTAGGAAAGAAACGGAAATTAATTTATTTGTTCTTAGTATTAGAAAAATATTACCGCAAAGTAAGAATTTCATATTCATAGCAACTCAGTTTAGCCTAATGGTAAAGTTTCTGGCTCGTTAGGTATCTACTCTGGGGCAATAACTCTTTTAATTTTGCGCCATAATCCCACACTATTAAGCTGAGGATGATCCGCTTTATATTATAAGTCTAAACTAGAGCCTGTTCTACCGAATGATGCTTGAAGCTAAGCAAAAGACTGTGAAAACTGTTATCAACAATTAAAAGGTATGTACTTCGTTTCCCATATATTAGGTCATTCCGAAAGTAATTTCGCTTTTTTCAAACGGACGCACAAGTAATGGAACAAAGATTTTTTGCAAGACCTTGGTAGTATTCGATGCAGAATTTCATCCTCTTTTCGGTTATAAAACTATTGCAGCACAATTAGAGCTTTTGAAAAATTACGAAAGTCCGCGATCCATGGTTTATGAGATGCTCAAGTTTCACATTTTCTTCCGAAGGAGTCCAAGTAGCGATTCGATAGAGCAAACCTCATAGGATATGGTGTAACTTTTTTCTCGTTTTTATATCTCGCCATCATTTCTTAAAAGATTCAACCATCGAATCTTGAAAGGTCTCGTCAGCCACCATTCGCATCAAACACCAATAAATCTTCGGGATTCAAAACTTCCAAGATGATATTATGATTAAACACTAATTTTGCAAAGCGAATGAGAGTTTACGGAATTGAAATATCTAATTTCGATTTTTCCGGGTACAGCCCGGAACGCGTTCGAAAATATGAATCATGATGATTTCATGCGCAAAAACTCCACTAAGGGGAAACAAAAAGTAACCATTAGAAAGAGGACAACAAGCTGCATCGAATGACACTCGAGCTGTTTATCGTTTGATGTTCTACGATGTTTGAATTGACCAAGAATGGAATTTGGTAGCATCAATCAATCAATCAAAATTCTATTAAAAAATTTGAGGATTTATGTAAATGAAGGAAAAATGGTGTTGTATCCTGTAGGGTCTGGTCTATCGAAACGTTACTTGGATTCCGTCGGAGGAGTGATGTACAATTATAGAAAAAGTATGAAATGACCATCATAAAAATCATCGATCGCAGACTTTCGTAATTTTTCAAAAGCTTATTAATTGTGCTGTAATAGTTTTATAACCTTTGAAAAGAGGATGAAATTCTGCATCGAATGCTACCAAGATCTTGCAAAAAATCTTTGTTCCATTACTTGTGGCGTCCGTTTGAAAAAAGCGAAATTATCTTCGGAATGGCCTAATATAAGAAATATGCGTCGAAAAGTGCTAAACCAGCTTATTTTATAAGTAGAAAACAACACAAATATATCCCATAATAAATGTGAGTCATATGTGAAAAGTGCTGAGCCACTAGCTATCCCATAACTGACGAGAGAAACTAATTAGAATTACAATGCTGCCAATTCACTGTTCCTTTCTGGGAGTTCGTACTAATTCTACGATTCTACGACCCTGCAACTCTTCAGTGAAGAAAAACGGGGAAAATTTGTGTTGTTTCAGCTTTTTCTGTTGATTTGTCCAGAAATAAGATACGCATCAGCCAGACCACTCACCTTATATGCTTCTCATAGTCATAAAAATCAAAAATGAAAAATCAAACAAACAAAAGGACAGAGTTATGGCCTAGTGGCGCACTAGAAAGTAGGATTTCCGCGAAGGTTCAGTGTCATCGACCTTATCAGGCTGATAAGTGGAGCAAGCGTTACAAAGTTTGGCCTACTGATAGTTGATTACACACTTCTATTCCGTGTTTACAAAATTTTCTACGGCGCTTTTCGTATTTAGTATTTTTTTTCGAAAGCAACCAACGTCGTCCTAATACCGACCTAATAATAAGTTCAGCGAATAAGCGACAGTTTATCCCATAGATATCGATTAGTCAACTGCTACGACCTCAGCTGTATTTGGGCTAAGTGATGACCTTGAGAGTTTGCTGTATATCATTACTCTCGACGCAGTTAGGTCAAAATGTAGCGCTAACTCGGTTTTGTTCTTGTTTATTTTATGTGTCTGGAAAACTACTTTGTCAAACTGATTAATGGAACTGGTTCTATATGTTTCAACCTATTACAAATTTACGTGCATAATGAATAATTAATTATTGCCTTGGCTGGAAAAAATTGTTTTTGAAATGCGACTAAGAAATTCCTTGAGAATTTGGGTGGCCTACATTTAAATGAGTTTTATGTCTAGAAGCAGTTTGAGCCTGCAGCTTAATATCTCTACTTTCAACTCTTCTTTTATCGGTAATAGCGTAATACAAAATCTTTCCTTTTTCAAATCTATGAGTTTCTTCTTCCCATTTTCTTGGATGCACAGATGAATGGCTTAGACGTGACACTGCTCAGCTTATGGCAGCAAAAATTACAATTTTACTTTAGATTATTTTGATGCCAGGAACTAAGAATTTTTCCATGGTTTTCAAAGGTCCACTCGAAGCATTTCTGTCGCTTGTCCTTCCTTGCAGATGTTATGGAACATCGGATTTTATTTTTAATCACTGTTTCTACCTTTTACAATATTATATGTTTTTTCAAAGACGCCTTTCAAGATATGGCCAAGAAGCAACTATCCAAATTCAATTGCGCCATATTTGATTATCGTAGGATCATTTATTTTGTGCCAGTTCTACTTGTATTTTTTCATTAAATTCTTTCCTTTTGCTAAGGATTGATTTTGCATCACTCTTATAAATGTCATTTTTGAAAGTCAACGAACCCATTAGGACTGAAGTAAATTCTATTCCAAGCATACTTTTTCCATTCCAAGTATTCCAGCATATAAAAACAAAAAAGGCTTTGATCACTTTTAGCAAATTTTGTGTTTCCCTGATCCCGGAAAAATTCGAAATCTTTGCAGTAGAACTCTCTCTTCCTGCAGACATTTTTTGTGAATCTCGTGGATACAGTAAAACGACGTGAAGAACAAAATCGTATAACAACATTTTCTCTTTTACGGAGCTAAATAGTCTTCGTTTGCACGAATCTGACCGGTTTTACGCATAACTCTGTTGCCAGACTTTTGAATTTGATTTTTTTAACGCCCTTTGTTACGTCTCAGTCAAACATTCTTGATTGTTTCTCGCCTTACAGCTAGTTTGATTGTGTGGGCTACCGTAACGTTTTTTTTGCAGCAGTATTCTCTACGTTTCACACTTGTTGAATTCATGCGTTTGTAGAGCATAATAACAATGTAAAATATAGAGATCGCGTGAACTTGAGGTCCGTGGTTTTTCGGAAGGAACGCTTTTTCTCATTTTTGGGTCACCCTGATTTTTAAACTTTGGCTTCATATTCTGGGTGATAAAAATTTCATGCATGTTTTCGAAAGCCGTCTTGTAGAGCTTATCTTCTTCGATCGAATGGTATACCCTATTCGAAAAGTAGAAAGGCGATTTATTGCAGTAAATCAAATGTGCAATAAAATTTGGGGCAACCTAATATTAAGTTGAAGCAAAAGTTCTAATATTTTTTGCACCTACCCTCCGATCTCACACATAAAGATGAACAAATAGTTAAATCTTCACCTAATTTATAATATTATAGATTTTTTTCCTCTTGCCATATGTTACATCCACGATGCTAAACTTCCGACAAGCGCTGAGATAAACGCCAAAGCTCGCAACCCTTCATTTTCGTGCCCAATTTTCACTAATTTTCAGAATTTCAATTTGAGTCTTTCGAAGATTGATAACTGTTTGGCAGGGCAAATCTTTTGTAAACCCATGCGATTCTTTAATTCACCACCTTCCTTTCCAAAATTTTGCTGAATAATTGTTCAAAAGTCTAAAATTTTGGTTTTTGCGTTAGATGAGCACCAAACAATGCATAATCTTCGGAATATCGAGGTTTTAAAACTTGATTAGTAATTTTATAAAATAAATGAGCGACTATAGCTTCAAAATATGTAAATTCTGAAAGAGGATTTTACAGTGAGCACTCGTAAAATTCAGTAATAAAGCGTCCTTGTCTGCAAAATGGCATGTATTAAACAAGCAGTAGCTATTAGAAAGAGGAGAAAATGCTGCTCGACTGGTGCGTGAACTGTTTACCATTTCATGTTCTACGAGGTTGGCTATCAAAACACTTCTAAGGTTCCAAACGAAAACACTGAAAATTTGATGATTAGACATGTAAGTGAAGGGTTGTAAGCTTTGGCGTTTATCTCAGCGCTCGTCGGAAATGTCGCATCGCGAATATGACTGATGGATAAGGAAGAAGTTTTGCATCGAATAGCGCTTGAACTATTTCTTAATCTCAGCTCTGTGGGATTTCAGAGTAGGTCCCAAAAAGGAATGGATTATGCACCGATCTGACATTTGTGACATTTTTAGGCTTAGCGAGCTGAGGTCCGTAGAATTTTTCATGAAGATCCGACTTCTGGAGCAAGCAAAATTGTTTAAGTTTTTGTTCGAATTTTACCTGATATTCCATCTAAAATTTGGATCAAGCTTAGTGGGAGTGTTTGCATGCGTTGTAGATTTTGCTTACTCTATCGTATAATATCTCAGAGCCTATTGAAAAAAAATCATCCAATATGTATAAAAATTCCCACACAATAATTCTGTTGTATAATATATTTTAGCGTCCCTGCGTTTGAACAAGAGAGATGCCCTTAGGCTGTTTTAGGACTCGTTAATGTTCAACTAGACACTGTCAATTTCACGGTGGATGATATCTGTGAAAAAGAGCGTGAACAAAATTTTGGCTTCATTTTATATTGAATATTTCTATGTTTCACATCGGCTTTCGACGTCCCGAGTTCAGCGACATGAGTAGAATTTGGTTTTTAACTTAACTTGATGGTAATTTGGATACTGTAGTCGCCGTTTCTTTTTGTTTAATTTGGGTAGAGGTAGGGAAAGGGGAAAAAGGGGGCTTACGTAGAATTATAGAACATGGTGCAGTGGCCTTAGATGCGAATACTCTTCGTTTTTTTTTGTAGCATTGCTTCGGTTGCGTTGCCTAAGGTCAACAGTAGCTAAAAATCCGATGCTGCAAGATTTTTTATGTTCTTTTTATGTGAGTTCACATGTACTGAAGCCTTATCAGAAGCGATTATGACACTGCACCTGCTTATAGTGCGAATTCTGGCATTATCCCACCTGCATATTTCTATAGGTTTGTTCTAATAACTAGGTTTAGAATGTTACCGTATTCATCTAATTCTTTTCTTCTCATTCTATCGCTAGAAATATTCAGGGCTGAGTTTGAATTTTTAAAAACTTACTCGGGTTCTAAAAGACTTCATACTTTGCGTAATGCTTGTAAAATCTATTCTTTGGGCTACTGTTTCATCGCTCTATCTGAAGATGTGCAATGGCAGGACCCAGAGATTTTTTGTGGGAAGTTGGGGGGGGGGCGGAGGAGAGGAAAAATCTGGATGGGGAGATGTGATATCGTTTACGTCCTCCAGATATTTTTGTGCTTCCACGAGCTTAACTACCTTGAATATTCAGAAGAGGGGCACCAACGTCAAGAAATTTCAGAAGCTGGTTTGGATTCGAATAAAAGTTAGACTTCTAAAGTATTACAAAAGGTTTGAATTGAAAAATTCTACTGCAAGATCTTACCGATTTTTAGACAAAGGGATCTCTTTAGGTTAAACTGAGAACCCGTTTTTCATTAGTCTATTTGCAAAAATAAAAAATGCAATTTGCAAATACTTGCAAATGCAATAAACCTTGATAAAATAATGCAATAAACCTTTTCCTTTCAGATGATAACTTTGGGGATCGGCATAGGGACTGCCGTATTTCTAATTATCTCATATGCTATATATTTCTTACTACGACCATATAATCGCATACGGAAACTCGGCGATGTTGGGCTGTTCCTGGGTAAACCAGAGGTTTCTTTTATCATAATGCTTACCCAAACACTTTCAGATGAATTTCTTTGTAGATGAAAGGCGTATATCGCGAACGGCAAATCACGAGGCTCGCCAAACTGCGACGAGTTGGCGAACTGCCACCTGTTTATCCAAATGGATGGTATTGTATAGCTGAATCAGACGAGATAAAACCCAAGTGCATAAAAGAAATCACTATATTTGGTATGGAAGCCCCTATTTTTTTTATAATTACCACCCTCCCTTTCAGATGAGCTCAAAATCAAGTGTTTAGGTCAATTTCTAACACTGGTCAGGTCAGAAAGTGGACAAGTACATCTGATTGACTCCTACTGCCCCCACATAGGTGCGAACTTCAATATAGGTGGGAAGGTGAGTCATACATCTCGACTCATAAATTTTAAAAACACAGAAATGGTGACAAGCGGTGCGATAGCCAAAGTAAACGTTGAAGTCATAATATGTCACATTTATAGCGCAGCCTAGTCAGTACATCATACAGGGAGCAGAGTGCACTCACCTACAGTCCATAGCCGCGGTGTTGTCCAAATAGGTTGAGTGTCGCGGATGCGGCGCGGCTCAGTTGCGCACTTTCCTGTTTGTTTTCTTACGTGTTGGGTGTGGGATATAGTATCCTACAAAAAAAGCAAAAAGGCCTTGAGGGTGTTTTGTAATAATTGCACAGTCTACAAATCCATGTAGTTTTTCTTACAATCTTCTCGAGCCTCGCATCCCAAACTCATAATTAAATCATTAAAAAATTTGATAAAGCCATTTTTTTGCCTGTTTTAGACAGAAAATTTTCTTTTTTAGCCATTCGTACAAACTATGAATTAATTCCGTTCTAAACACATCAGAATGTAAGAATAGCTGCAATGTCAGTAGAAAATCCGTCTTTACGCCGCTAGAGACATTTTTTCCACATACATACCCGAATCTCAAATTTTATAAATTTGATTGTTTTTGTCTAGGTTGTAGATGACAACTGCGTTCAATGTCCTTTTCATGGGTGGGTGTTTTCGGCTGAAACCGGTAAATGCACTCGAATACCGTATGACAATGGCACCATTCCGGAACAGGCAAAGGTAAGACCTTTTTTTTTCATACTTCCTGTCTTTGTTCAACGACAGTTTTAGGTTGCAGTCTGGCCCGTTACAGAGAGAAATGAGCACATTTATGTTTGGTAAGTCACTTTTTAATAAATCAAAATGTCCTAGAAGCCCTTATTCTTGGTGGAGTTCATCACTGACTGTCGTGACCGTACTCGAAGACGCTGATTGGTCCGTACATTACGGTACCGGGCGATATCTTAGAGTTCAATTCTCACTGCGAAACCATCAAATGTGTAGCTTGAGCACAGTTTTCAAACGAGAAGTTTGTGTGATTTGTCTGGGTATTGCTAAATTCAAAGAAAAATTCTTTTGGAAAAATTTCCATCTTTCTGTTCAATTAGTCCCATATTTCTTACTTTCATAAAATGCAGGTTAATGCTGAAATTTTTCATGTCTAGGTATCACTGCGATAAAACTGATCCGGAGTGGGATATTCCCGAATTTGACGAAATCGTAAATGGAGAATGGACCTATGGCGGTAGAACTGAGCATGAGATTATGTGCCATTGCCAGGAAATTCCGGAAAATGGTGCTGACCTCGCACATCTGCATTACCTTCACCTTTCTGGACCCAATAGAGGTAAAGCGCCTTACACTAAGACTTCAATGAAGACAATTTAACCACAATTTTCAGGTCAAAATGTACTGGACATTGATCTCGATAATACAAAGCCATTGATTCGCCACACATGGGATGGAAAATGGGTGCCCAAAACTGGAGACGAGGCCCACGCCTCGGTTATGTATCTGGATCAGTTTCTATCCATTGCTGGCTGGAGAATACCTATGACAAGCAGCAAACTCAGAGCAGAACAGGTAGAACCAATCACTTTGACATTACAGAGCATTAGAGGCAATATCCAGACTTATTCGATACCTGAATATCTTTTGTAAAATCTGATTGGGAGGCCTTCATTAGGCTCAAAAAGCCGCTCATACAATTCATTAGTGGCCGAGAAATTCAACCTTGAAGTTTTGCCCACTGCCGTATTGCGTCCAAAGAGTACGATACTGGGCAAGAGTTTAAAAGTGTATGGCTCTGCCGACAAGAGTTCAATGCTGTATACTCTGCCATCATCAAATCCTATCATCAACATTCACATCCTAGTTTGAGTGAAATTTTGAATAGATGAATTGGATCGAATTCTCACTATGATTCATTATGAATGGATTTGGAATACAGACCAGTCAGGCTATTGTATTTGGTGGCTGAGATATCCAGTTGTACACTCTTACCCGCTACCATACATTGCAGATGTAGTACGGTAGTGGGCGAGACAAATAAGAAGCCTAAGCGTGGATACACCCTTTCATAGGACTTCGGTCTGACTAGAGCCTCCATGCTCCTATTTAAAAAAAAGTCATCCTCACTCCCCTTTCCAATCTTTCTAACTATTTTAACCTCATAGTTTAGCTTGGACCTGGAATTGTTCACATGATTTTCGACTTTGGATTTCTTGGACGCGGTGTAGTGCTCCATCATGTCACACCACAAGAACCTCTGCAACAACTAGTACGATTCAAACTGTACTCAAATATGCCGCGGTGGTTTGCGAAGTTCCTCCTGATTAGTGAAGCTACCCAGGTAGTCGCTTTAACAGTAACGTTATATGTGAATCTGCACACTACGCGCGGCAACCGACGACGCCTTGAGTAACTCCTCACTGAAACCTTTCTAGCGGTAACAAACACTAGATATGTGTACTACAAATTGATGCATATAACTTCAAATCGAAATAGACGGTGAAACAAACAAAATCACTGGAAACGAGCAAGTTTTAATCTTACTAGTCGTCAAGTAGCGCGCATAGTGTGCAGTGCACATATCAGTTACAAATGAATCGCGATACACGTAATATAATTGTAGTTTGAACGAGATATTTGGGTATGGTCCAATAAGAAATATATCAAGAATCCGATTCTGGTGCGTAATGACGGACCTATACAGAAGCACCGAAGGTACTTTTTTTTCCGAAATTTTCTGTTAAAATTTCTTCAAGAAACCAGACAATTCTTCAGGTGGTACTCGCAGTTTTACAAGGAGAACAGTCCTCGATTGCTTCCGAATGGTGATGTATCTAATAGACCAAAATCAATCTATGACTGGTAGATGAATTGTATACTTACGTTTTTGTGAATAAATTTCGATTTTTGGCTAAATTTGATTTTATTACAGGACTCTTACCTAGAGCAGATTTTCTGAATCCTGCTTGAAAATTGATAATATTTCATAAGCCAATGTCTATGAAACGGTGTTTTCATCCTTGACTGTCAAGTTCTACCCGTTTGGCCTGCAGTATTTCTTAATCGAAATACTAACACTGGGGTGAAACCGTAGATTTGTAAAGTTGGGATATGTGGTGTGTATGCGCGCGATCGACATTTGACCAGTTAGAGACTGAAGAGAATGAGTAGGGAACAGACATGGTCCTGACGCGACACAGCTCGATGCGCGGCAAGACGCCTCACTCGCAAATTAAGACGAATCTGAGTGATTGGATTGGGGAAAATTGTATGGTCCATGTATAGGCAGGGCTCGGCACGAGCTGGCACCAGGAAATTTTCAAAACGAAGTCCCCCTTGACTTTTGGGAATTTTACGGAGTCCCCTTTGATCCTCAACGATATTCCCTAGAAAATCCTAAAAAACCCCCCAAAAACGAAACGTCGACTAGAAAAAAGGTCGCCGTCGCCAATTTTGCGTATATCTTCGCCCACAAAAACGAAACCCCCTTTGCTTCTTGCCCCAAAAACGATATCCAGCTTGCCCCGTGCCAGCTGGTGCCAGGCCTTGTGTATAGGTCATTTATAAAATCGTGACGACGATTTGACTGCGGTCTTTGTGCCCACAGGAGCATAAAATATTCGTCCAAAAGGGCGTCACCTCAATGCTCAGCTCAGTCACTTCCAGTGTATATTATCATGTGTAAGCAGAAAAAACATTCAAATAGGAATGAAAACCAAGGAAATGAGAATGCGTGCGTGTCGTTGCGGTCGCGCCGTCATCACGAATTTCGAATGCTCTTAACTTTCTTGAAATTATAAAATTTGATTAGCTCACATGTGGTTCGCTCAATAAAACATATTCATGGGAGTAAAGGTGCACAGAACGATGACCTAAACAGGAAATTCACACAGACCAAAATGGAAATTGATGCAAAGCGCCGCACGTATAATCGGCTCTTGATAAGATGACTGCACGCTCATCGCACCTTACGAGCCTTTGTGAGTCACCGATTTCTAGGCTTTTTCCCTCTTTATGGTATAACGTCGATTCATTATTCAGCGTCATTTCCACTTATACTTCTACAAAACAACCTCAAATCTATGTAGTCTTTATCTCTGGGACCTAAAAGTGGGTGAATGAGTCGGAAAATTGAAAGAGTTGTGAAATCGCACTTGACTTGTTTGCACTTGTTAATCATCAAAATAATTCTAGAAATTTTTTCTGCTCTAAAATAGTTTGTAAAAATTCCCCCGGGCCTTTTCGGGGTGATAGGCCTATTGAAAAGTTGGGAAGCACCCCCAGAAAATGCTTCTGTGGTCGTGGCTAATTGCGCGCCCCTTTACTTGAAAAAATTTTCTTTTGTCCCCCCCCCCCTCCTCCGAAATAAAATATCTCGGGCACTCCCTTCAGATAGAAAATCGCTAAAAAATAACATAGTAATATAATAGCATGAAAGATTTGACATCAATACAGTCTCCCTGCGCTGATGACAACACTAGCGCATGAAAAAGGCTGTGGGCATAGATGAAATCTGCGGCCAATCCAATTTTCTACCCTTCGTTTGATAGACATTTCTTATACTAACCTATGCTTGTAATGAAGTGAAACTACAAAATTACAACAGTTGAGCAAAATATTGATCGATCGTGATGTTCCGCGTTGTGTGTGTATCACGTACAGAGGACTACAATTGCGTAGACTATAAATATCATACATTTGCATAAAACATTTATTTATTCTCATTTAAATAGCAGGGGCGCTGTCGAAACCGATTTGGTCTCATCGTCAAACAAGTTTGTACGCGTGATTAATAAGTTCGACTTGCAATCTAAATCTAGCATTATGCACTACTTGGAACCAGGAGAGAACAAGTCCAAGCTTGTTTAGACAATGTGTGACACGTGGCTTTTCTTACAGTTATTACTCTCAGAATAGATAATACCCAGGCGCGAAATTCTTCGCACGCTGCGTTCACTTTCAAAAAAGTGCAAAGGCTTTTCCGACCGACTAATGTGAGCTGAGTAGTAAAGCTGTGCATAAATGCGTCATTGACGTGGATTTGTCGCACCAATGCACAATGGAATCAGCTGCTCGTTTCCAAGGGTTTTGTTTGTTCATTGTGTTTGCATTACTAATTCTGTAAATGCCATCCGATCTTGCATTCTTTTTTATCGAGTTCTATGATAGTTAGCTCATTAATTGCTTATCCTGTAAGAAGGTGAGCGTGTCAAATGTTAGTAAGGATTGCTTCAGATTTGTCTTTAATTCTGCTTTTTATTTGCGATATAAGACGGCTTACGAATGTATCTTTTCATTTCTTCTCCGTCTGGTCTTCTTCTCTACTTTGAAACAGATATATATTTAGATGTTCAAGTTACTCTTTTATTGTTCTAGGACCAGGAGGCTGTGGTTTTCCAGTAGATGAGCTCAGATAGAAAATCTCTTCTGAGGTGAGTATCTTTTTCTACAGATTTTTTAAGCAAAATCTGATCTTTTCTTGTTTTTTTTTCATCAATTCAAATTATGCTTTCATTGTGGGCACATGCTCTTCTATATTTGCAATATTTGTTTATTTATTTATTATATACGCCCTAGGCGTTCCTTAAAAAGACAAAAATACACACTTACTCATACTCTAATACCACAATAATTCATCATGTAGTTTGGGTCTAAGCATTCGGACTAGATTATTGGAAGTGTGATGGAAGCCTGTTTGTGACTGCTCTAAGACTGTAGTCAACAGAACTGAATTAGTGTGTTTAAAAATATCTTGAACACTTCGTTCAAGTTGTTTTTAAACGAGTATCTAAAAGTTACAAGTAAACTAAACTCAGTTGTACAGCCCATGTGGAACTGCTTTGCATATTGAAAGTGTTTCAGCTGTATCTCTGCAAAATTTCTGAGAATGCGAAATATTCATTTTCATCGAGAGAAAGCAGAGCTTTAGCATCTCTTCGAACAGTGTTCACTTTTATCGATTCAAAGTGGATCTTAAGTCTCGCTTTGATCAATATCGAAACCTAATTAATGTGTCATACTTTGCGAGATGTGAGCGGCTATCAAGTTTCCGACATCTTTCTACACATGTTCGCATTGAACGATGCTGAAGTTGAAGCTTTTACATGTTCTCTCCTTAAAAATCATAAACAAACTTTTCGTCATGAATGTTTTACATAATGATTGGACAATTTCTTCGTCATGAATGTTTTATCTAATATGTTTTGATGTACGCATTCCCCTCACTTGCCAGGTTAGGAAAAAGTTTGATATGTTGATGGCTGTTCTCACATAAATTATCTGTATGATCCAGCTTTCCAACAACTGGTGATAGCATGGCTCAGTGTTTGCTGTACAAAAACTTACGTAATTACTCTTGGTTCAATTAGTTCTTCATATTCTTCGCAAATTATTATGTTAACAAGAAGTTTTTGAAACATTTTCGGGTTACTGTCATTTCTCAGGAAATACTGCATGTAGAAGAATGAGAATTGAAGTTTTTTCGTATTGTTCAAGTATACACTTGAGCATGTGGGAGGAGTTTGAGGTCAAAGAGGCGTGGTTTTCCTCTCTCCAGTTGGCTCGTTCTTGCTTTTTCACCTCTAGTCTTATACATCATGTGAGTAAGCGCAGTGAGCGTCTACTATATTTGAGCATGAGAGATTTGTAATGTTAACAGATGGTGGGATCTGACGTTAGAATGTTATCATAATCACTGATTATGCTTTTGCGCTTGTTTAATATCATTTTGTAGAGCCCGCTATTTTCTTTTATTGAAAGCTGTGCCCCATATTTGAACCCACAATAAAAAAATTTTCCGGAAATTTATGTGAGAGGACCTTTCTACCCTAATATTCTGATTGATCTGTATCGAGAGCAAGGCAGTAATCCGATCGAACAAATCGTTTATATGCTATGGGATTAATAGATTTCAATTGTATCTGTCGATGAACGTGATGAACGCAATAAGCATCACTCCACGTGGCGCAGCGAAACACTCATTGCTGCCATTGCTGCTAGTATAGTCTAACTGCGTCCCTTACATAAACTGAGTACGTCTGGCCCATTAGAGACTACATTCTTCGTCGGTCAACATAGTGCAAGATGAGATCAACAAAGTTCTCCTTTTCTTGACTTTTGTTCGCCTTTTAATCATCTTTTATGCGCATTTATTATTTTCAGGAACAGTTCCGACATTCCCAGCATGCGAAATTGGCCTCTATTTGCATTTTTGGCAGGACTTGTATTTTTCTTCTATGTGTTCTACATCTACCAAGCTCAAAGCACAGAATATGCTATGGCTCGTAATGATTTAGAAGAACAGATACAGAAAGTTAGAGCGTTGAAGATGGAGGCGTTTGGTGAGTTGATATCTATTTGTCTTTATTCAGTTAGCCAAATATACAAAAATTAGACTCTCATAGTCTGTTGCAGAGGCGAAATCTGAAAGTGAACGTTTGAAAAATTCCGAAACTGCTCTGAAACAGGAAAAAGAAAAACTCGTCCAGGATAACGAAGGTTAGCTGATTAGAGTCTCATCAGACTTCTGATCATTAATCCATTTAGTGTGTACAAACAATCTACGATCTTGCAAGCTCAACGAGAACACTCTCCAGTCACAAATTGCAAAAATGGAAGACGAGTCGGGGTTATTTTTGAGTGATTTTTGGTTGTGTTAATTTAGCTTATACACTTTCTTTTTCAGCAGCAAGGATCAAAATTACAAGGATTTACAAACTAGCTATGTGAGTTCACTGTGAATTTTTGAGAATTGGTCCAAATTGCAATTTTTAGAATGCTCTGATGCAAGAAAAAGAAGAATTGGTGAAGAAAGCTACAGAACAAGAGACTCTGGCACAGCAGTATAAGGCTGAATTGGACAAGTGAGTGAAGTTTTTTGTTATTTCAGCTGGTTGACATCGTTGACATTTACTTTGACTGTTTTCACTTCTTTTAAATGAGAACATCCTTACTTCTTTCGGAAACCAATTCTATTCTCTCTTAATTTTTTTGCATGGTAATCTGTCGGTCCTATTTTTTTTAATACATCGGAGTTTTTTGGCTTCGTTTTGCACTTACAGACACAAAAAAGCTATAGCTGATACTTCAGTATGCCGTTCACATTTGCAAAATGTGTGTGGGAAAGAAGCCATTTGATTCGGGCGTTTTATACACATGCCAGTCTCGCATAATGTCAAATGCTAAGTTGTTGGGGCTCGATCGTACCTTTTTTCGCAATTTATCTGCACTCTTGAGTGACCAATCTCTTCATTTTCGCAGTTATAAATGATGGACATGATGGTCTCGCCATATATGGGCATTGCAATTGATTACAATTTTATAGAATGGTCCAAAATATCTACTTAGTGCAAACTGTGGTTGTTGAAAATAGCTAGGTGTTTATGCTTTCTCCTTTCCGCTATTCTGCTATTGGGATACTACACCACAAATGTATAGGGCATTCGAAAAATCGTGACGATGGCTCCACCGCGCGTGACACGCACGCACCTCCCGGCAACCGCATTTTCTTGATTTTCATCTCTACCTAAATGGTTTTTCTGCTTACATATAGCAGTGTTTAGACATTGGAAGTGACTGAAGTGAAAGTTGAGGCGATGCCTTTTTGTATGAGTGTTTTCTGCTCTTGTGTGTGCAAAGACCGCAGTCAAATCCGTCGTCAGGATTTCATAAACGGCCTATTCTTATTTGGTTGTTCCTTGTTTTATCATGGATGCATATCAGAATCACCAAGGGAAAGACGGAATTGGAAGGACACGGTTTTGGTTTTTGAAAATATCTCAAGCGAAAAACTTTGTTGCAGTACCTTATAAGGTCGAGCAGTTTCTATCGGAAATTTAGAGCGGAAGCCGAAATCCAGTAAAATGCTTTAGACTAGTCTGGGTGTACACTAAATAAGCTGACCTACATGGGGAGGGAGTATATCGAAAAAGTCTGAGCGTTGCTTAGGAGACTGGGTGTAAATGGGGAGTGTAAACTGTATGTGCATCGGGGCGTCCATAAGCTAATTGTAAGAAATCTAAGGGAAGGTACTTAGGGATTCAAATCATCTGTATACCGCTCAAAAAGAACAAGTAAACATCACGAAGCCGAATTTACACCGTTTGCCAACCACAATGTTTCACTCTGTCTAACGTCATATGTTGTCTGCGAACACTGTGCTCGCGTTTGCGGGGACAATGCTCATCTTCCTTCATGGAAGCGTTTCGCAGATGCTAAAGGTAGAATCAGTCATTTGCTAAATATTATTATAGTCATTCCATGAGGTTTCGAAAACTTGAAGACACTCTTCTAGTTTTGAGTCTGTCAGTTTTGAAGATGGTGAGCCAGTGTGGGTGATCTGAAGTTACTGACAAGGGAAGTGCTATCAATGGCCGTGGCTGTTTGATATGAGATGCATATCATCTGAAGCAGCTTCGAACACTGATTCCAAATCTGCTTTCCGTTTCTGCGGTCTTCTGAAGAGGGTTATGGAAGCCTGAACATTCTATTTTGGGGGCGCCCCTTGAGTTTGAGGGCGCTGCTATGTGCATTAGTGGTGCAGTAATGTAGTGGTTAATTGCTGACATTGAAGATGAAAGGTCGATGGTTCGAATACTGTGCAGAGCGAACTATTTTGCTTATTGAATGTGAGTCTGAAAGCACTCTAAATCGCCTGCAGACACTTACTGTAATGCCTTTGGCATAAGTGACCTAGAAAAACAATTTTCTGGCAAAACTGCTTGTAATGAGAGCCTGAAATTCTATTTGACTTCCTTACTAGCAAAACAGGACCGAACATGGCGTAGCACGTTTGTCACCATATAAAGCTTAAAAAATGCACACTGTCATTGGTCGAAAAGACGTTCTCTCCTGTTTGTGCTAAGGCATTAAAGTAAGTGTCTGCAGACGATTTAGAGTGCTTTTAAACTCATCAAAATGCAAAATGGCTCGCTCTCTACTGGATTTGAACCATCAACCTCTCGCATTTAATGTCAGCAAATAACTATTACATTACTGCACCACCAACGCACATAGCGACGCCCTCAAGTTCAAGGGGCGCCCCCAAAATAGGATGTTCAGGCTTCCATAACTCTCTTCAGAAGAGCGTTCCGCAGAAACGGAAGGCAGATTTGGAATCAGCGTTCGAAGCTGCTTCAGATGATGTGCATCTCATATCAAACAGCCATGGCCATTGAAAGTACTTCCCTCGTGATTCTTGAATGAGTCCAGTTATACGTAGAAATTCGGCATTTTTAGTCAGCCCAAGATAATGAGATGTTTGACATCCTAGATATTTTGAAGTTCAATTTCGCGCGCAGTGTCTGCATATCTCCACATTTGTCGATCACTGTTGTGTCTAATTCTGGACCAATTTTTCTCGCTTTGAACCCTTTCACAGTAAGAGAATTACGTCGATAGTGGCGCTATCGTACCGCACTGAATTTTGCTACTCTCGAATTTGAGTGAAGATGCTGAGTCGAAAGTTTTGAAACAACAATGGCTGTTTGTGCACCTGACGGTAAGGTCTTGAAAGGCACTTGATTGGGTTAACACTATGCTCAGCCACCTCTTAGAAAGCTGCTGGATACCATTTTGTGCTCCATTATTACATACCAGTTGCCTGCATATTCTTTCAGATGCATATGTCTTTTGCAGGGTACAAGCTGAAGTGATGCGATTGAGAGCTGCCGCTGGCGGCGGCAACGTAGCAGCCCAACCATTCGTTGGGGGAGCAGTAGGCCCTAACGGTCCCTTGGGAGGAGCAGTTGCAGCAGCTGGTGCCGGAGCTGCACCTGCAGGCGCAGGGGTAGCAGGAGCAGCAGGAGCTGCTGGAGCCGCTGGAGGTGGAGCTCAACCCGCAAATCCTATAGCAGACGTAGACGCAGGCGCTGGAGCTGCAGCCGCTGCTCCTGCAGCGGGAGCACAGGCAGCTGATGCTGCAGCCATGGCAGCGGACAAGGGCAATGCTCCAGACGATGATGCAGACGGCGCCGCGGACAACAACGTTGATAGGCCACAAAGAGCGTTGAATGTGAGTTTTATTGTTTTTTCTCGTTTTGCTCTCTCCTTCTAGTTTTGCCCTTGTCTGTAGGTGAACCCAGTAACAACATATACGTTGCCTTAATGATAGTGTCACAGCTTGGGCAGCTTGGGGCCTCGCAGCCAACTTTCGTAGCCTTGCGCCGCGTTCGCGAGCATAGGGTAGAGAATAGGGCATTCGAAAATCGTGACACTGGCGCGACCGCGCGCAACACGTACGCACTCTTAATTCTTGGTTTCTATCTCTACTCAGATAGTTTTTTTGCTTACATATAATAGCATTCAGGAACTGGGAGTGACTGAGCTTAGCGTTGAGGTGTTGCCTGTTTGTATGGGTCTTTTACCCTTCCGTGTGCGGAAAGACCGCAGTCTACTCGTCGTCACAATTTTAAAAATGAACCATACCTTGTTTCCTTAATACTATGATTCCCTCTTTCACCCTAGAAAATTAACGATGCTTTTTCCCTTATCAAATTCAGAGGTTTCAGATGAATGCGAAAGCTGAATCTGAAGTGAATGCTCGACAAGTCCCTGTTCCTCGAAATTTGGGAAACCTGCTTTCTCCAGGTAAGTAGACGACTACGAAATTTTTGTCTTCAGATAAATCTTTTGCAGCAAAAACAGGTTTGGCAGATAAGGAATATGAGAATGAAGAAAAGAAGGACGAACGTAATTCTATTTTCACTACTTTACAAAAAAATGTATGATCTGGATTTTTAGCCCAAGTGGTTGCACCACCTCAGCATCCTGGAGATCGCGTCAAGTTGGCAGTTGCAGCAGATGATGTGGACAAACCTGTTGTAAAAGATGGCGCCTACGATGACAAATTAGGTAAGGCCTTTCTATAGCGTCATGATATCTACAAATTCAAAGTCGGAATTTTGCTTCAGCTAAATTGAATTACTCGACGTCAAAATAATTTTGAAAAACTTCCCAAAATCAGGTTGGTTGATGATTTTCGAGTGTTTTGCAGGGCATGATTTTGATTGTTATAACCTTCGTCATTCTTCCTGCTAGCTATAAAGCCGCATCAGTCTGAAGCTTTCACAGTTCAGAATGTTTGCATTACTTTTGCGTTAACGAGAAAGTTTATAGTTATATCTCATTTTCGAAATTTGAGTCAGAACGTGATATTCGCTTAGGAAAACAATGATCGTAGTTTTATATCCGATTTTTGCCATTAAGGTTTCAAAAATACCAACTTATTTGACGTTTTGGGAAGAGACTGCCTTTTCTTGCCTCTTATATTAGCTGCCAATTTGCGAATCAAATCTACATCTCTTGATGTCCAAATTCTTGCGATTACAGCGAAAAATATGCAGTCGCTTGCCTTCGCTATCTTTACGACATAAAAGACCACAGTGACGTCCATTTTGTTGTCTAAGCTTCATAGCTCGAATAGGATCTTTCTGTTGGTGGGCATCTGTAAAATAGTTTGACTACACCTGTTTTCAAGTAACACGAAAAAGGTCTGGATTTTCTTTTTCAGTTTCGCCGGGGAATGAAATTTTGAAAAAATTAGTACCTTGCCTCAGCCAAAAGAGAGCTTCTATATCATGAGAAACCCTTTGTTTATAGCATTCTAAGAAAAGGTGTCTAGTTTCAAAATGGGAATCTTTACCTAATACGAGTACTCTTTAATGAGTACTCGGCTGCTTGAATTTCGATTTTCAGATGTCGAAAAAGGAATCGGTGATGATGTTCAGGCTCCACAATAAATGTCTGCCCTCAACTCTGAATGTATTTGATTCCTCTACTCAAAATGCCAATGTACCCTTGTATTTCTGAGTCACATTTAGTGCCGTGTGAGCTGTGATATTATTTATGTGTTTCCTTCTACCAATGCAATTATTATGTATTTCATTGTTGCATTTTTGCTTCACTTAGCATTAATCTTGTTTGCGTTTTTTTCGATAATAAATGATTTTACTTCATCTTGCGAAATGCTCCCTGTAGAGGAGATTTTTTTTTACTTCTAAGAACTTCTGCTGTAACAGATCTCAACAAGGACAAAAAGAAATGAAATAGCAGAAAAAAAGAAGGATTCATTGAAAATTTGCGAAAGTATTAGAATAGAGAACATCCTTTTACATTAGACTAATGTGAAGGTGTTGTTTGTGATTTTGTTCGAATTACGTGAACATCTATTTATTAATAAATCCAAAACTACATACTACTATCACAAAAAGCCAAGAAATTATACTTCATGAAATAAGCAAGAGAGAGAGAGAGAGACTGAGTAGGAAGACGCTAAAGGTGGAAAGCTTCTAAGGGTACAAAGCAAATTTTGAATATTTCTCGAAGATGTTTGAGCGATACTCTGAAAATGGATTTTTCGAAAACCGGGGGCTCTAATTTTGCTCCAAACTAAGTCATGTATGCGTCATAGTCCTGTATACCAAAAACCCATGAAAGGGAGCTGACTAGGAATTATAAATATTGCTTAAACAAACCATAGAAGCGAATTCCTCTGTGGCGCGCGCTGGATAATCTAGGTAATTTTAGAGCTGCAAAACTCATTAATCGCATAATTACAAATTGAACCTGGTCTAGATTGATGGCTCAGTAAGGTACACCACAATTGCCTCATTTTTCAGCGAAACCGATCTTCATAGGGAAATAAAGTCTGTCTCAGTCCGGATTAAGCCAAACTTGACATGATGCGCACCCTCATCTTCTTAACTTTTGCCACGTTGCCGATGGTTTGCTGTGGAGCGTCATGCTATTACCTGTTTGTTAGTTATGGTACACTCTTCAAGAACAGCTAAATAAAGGGTCTCACATAATCAAATTACAAGTGCAAAGTTCCTTCAAAAATCCAGGTGATTGTTGATTCATCTAACTACCTGAAATGTTCTGCAATTGACCGATAGGAGACAGAGACAGTTTGATAATTGTACTATCATAGGTCACTGATTTGATAAGCTTTTGTCCCCATCCTGCAGACACCTTTTAATCCTCGTTTGTGGGGATAGGGAGAGGGAGATGCGTGTTTGAAGAATGCAAATTGAAGCGGCGTCATCAAATTATAGACAAAGGAATAATTAAAACTTGCCCTTATACTGCTTTAGGGAGGGGACAGGAAAGTTTTTTTTGAATGTGCCTCACACTCAGAGTTTTATAAGAATTAATAAGATTTTTTTGGGATACTTCTTGGAAAAATGTCACCTGACAAATTCTAGCAATTTACGGCAATAGATTGACTTAGTCAAGCTGATAATAGAAGAAGAATTCATGAGATATGTTGTAAGCCACGCAGGTTTGTTAAGTGCTTTATTTCGGTCTAACGTTTCGGCAAAAATGCCTTCCTCAGAGACTCGAAAGAAAGCCTCGCATTTGTTTTTCACTCTGTACTGTCAAATCTCTCTTCTCAATAGCTCAGTTCGATGCCCTAGGAACGCTGTTCTGTATTTGATGTTCTTGTTCTTGTTCAAGACATTAAGTATGCCTGAACAAAGATTCCGAAATTTGACGTCTGCGGTGAAGCAAGGTTCAGGTTCTTTGTAGAAGGACGATGGGAAGGGAATAGGCGGTAGCAACCTTCTACTTAACGCGTTGGCTCGCTGTAACTGCTCTTCAGATCTCAACTGCACTCGTAGCCGTCGCACGTCAATCTCTCACATTTCTCAAGCTATGCAAGACGTCTGAGTGCTACCCAACTTTATCGCGAAGAAGAAGTTAGGAGTAACTTGTAGCTTACTAAAAAGTCACCCCATCAAAAGCAATACGTCCTGTACTCCTCTCTACTCAAATGCAGAGCAAAAGAAGAAGCATGCCAACGTCTCATGTCTGAAAACAGCTGGAGGAGAATTGAGAGCGAGTCAAAGCGTGTTTGCGCTACTGTACGGTTTAACCTCAAATTTTCACTATGCAAGAACTTCGAGGAACTTGTGAGTAAACCTAGTCTGTATCCTAGTGCTTGCGGTGGGATTCCTCATAATCGATCCCAATCGCTTGCGGCGCAGAATGAAACTGACAATGATAGAATTGCTAGAGTTACTGTGTTAGGAGATGTTCGGATATCAAAAAGCGCAAAAGAGCTTTTAGCTCTTGGACCTAGCTTTGCGCCCACTCAAAACATCAGCGCGAGCACATACCGAGAAGTGGTTGGATCCCTGCAACATCTGAGGGACCAGCTTCGAGTGAAGTTGAGATCTGAAGAGCAGTTACAGCGAGCCAACGTGTTAAGTAAAAGGTTGCTACCGCCTATTCCCTTCCCGTCGTCCTTCTACAGAGGACCTGAACCTCGCTACACCGGAGACGTCAAATCTGGGATTCTTTGTTCAGGCATACTTAATGTCTTGAACAAGAATAAGAACATCAAACAAATCAATTAGACCCTTGCGCAGTGGCTTGGATTCAAGGAATTGAAGGATTGATTGGAAGAGGAATCGCCTTTTTACTAGCGATAAAGAGAGTTCGTAGTAATACCTCAACAACTTGACCGTCAGATTACCGAGCGTCATCTCTCAGACGAGACCATTTATCGCCGCACTAGTGAGAAAGAATTTCTTTCTCAGTGCAAGCGCAAGCGCTTGAATCACGTATGGATGATGGTTGGTAAAGAAGCTGGCCTTAACGAAAAGTTCTCAGCAGACTTAAACTTGACAATCCATGCTGTACTGTATTTTACAGCCTTGTGAAGACGCATAAGCTCTCTGAGCGTGACATGAGCTCCGTGTTGGCGCCTCGGTCTACAAGATTCGACCGATCATTAGCTGTATAAATGGACCAACCGATAGAATATCATGGTTCTTAAGTAAAAATGTCACCCCATTCGACAAAATACCGGCCCATTTGAGGAATACAGACATTTTCTTGTTCGACTGCACCATGCTCATTTCGACCAGAGCTGTGCAATAGAGTCATTCGATGTAACGTCACTCTATACGAACGTGTCTAACGGTGACGCTTTACAAGCGCTTTCTGAGCTGTTTGATGCACATGATAATACCATTTCGATGTATGGGCTCAGTGAAGGGCGTATAATGAATTTAATCAAGGAATGTCTTAACTGTAATATCTTCAAGTGCTCTGGTACATACTACTCACAATTAAGAGTATTGGCAATGGGCCAAAGATTAGCACCTACGCTAGCCATCTGCTTCATGAGCAGAATAAAAAGACCGGTGCTATTACGATGCCCACTTATGTACTGCCGATATATTGATGATCGTTGCATTATAACATCAACATAGTCCGAAATGGACGAGTGTTTCAAGATTTTAAATCAATAATCACAGTACATAAGTTTTACTAGAGAAGCTCCCCAAAACGGATGGCTTCCGTATTTGAACACCCAGCTGATGTTGAGTAACGATACGATGCGAGTAAAATGGTATTGCAAAGAGAGCTCCAAGAATATCATCTTGCACGCGAAATCAACCCATCCGATGGCCGTAAACCGAGCAGTGCTGCGGAATATGTATAAAACGGCAAGAGAAGTCTGCAGTGGGGAGATTGAACGGCAAGAGACCCTCGAACTGGCAAATGAGATAGCAGATTCCAATGACTACTTCTCATCAAGATCTAGACATTTCAAAAACACCGCAAATAACGATGATAAAGCTCGTACCAGAATCCCATCATGTCTGCCGTTTATCTCCGATAAGGTAAAGAACGCTTTCCAGAATTGCATAATACAAACTCAGTTGGAGCAAGATGTTGTTCTCGTAAGCATCCCCCGAAGCAACATCAAGCGACAGCTAGTGCGTAATCGTTTATACGATACAGCCTGTATTACGAGGGATTGCATCATTTGTCCTTACGGAAGGATGGGGGACTGTACCATTATCCACGAAACTGAATGTCTAGAATGCCACGCCACCTACATAGGGAAAACTGGTCCTCAACCCAGCGTGCGAATTAATGAACACTTGTTTAATAAAAGAAAGGAAAGCATGTCAAGTCCGCTAGGGAAACACAGGAAAGTGGATCATCACGGCAGTGACTTCAGTATCAAGTGCATCATCCTAGGTCACGAGTCGAAAATTGCTGCTCGCAAAGCGCTTGAATCGGCATACATTCTTTCGCGCGAACCTAGGCTAAACGAAAAGAATGAGCAGCTTTTCATCACAAGCTACTTGATGCCATTTCTGCTATATTGCCACTTATAGATAACATGTCCACTACTACTTAAGCTGTCCACATCGGTCAGTTCTAGTCTATCACCACCAATGGATCTTGAATATTTGTTGTTGCCTGATTGGTGGAGATCTTGGTACGCTACTTACAATGTATTGTCTCAGCGAGTTTACTCCTAGGACATCGAACTGAGCTAGTTGAGAAGAGAGATTTGACAGTACAGAGTGAAAAACAAATGCGAGGCTTTCTTTCAGGTCTCTGAGGAAGGCATTTTTGCCGAAACGTTAGACTGAAAAAAAAACTTAACAAACCTGCGCGGCTTACAACATATTTCATGAATTCCAACAATGCCCAGGTTTCATGATCAGAGAACGGATAGAATATTGCAAGAAAAAGAATTTTTGACCTACAGCATGCCTTTGAGCATCGTCAAATCCACACATTACTATAAGTACTCTCCAGGGGACATTGTTAATTTCAGTAGCTGAAACTATATATCTACTCCTACTTCTTGTAAGCGTATTCTTTTGATACATTGACCGCCAAAAAGTTGCGAAGAGTTCCCTCCTTTCTTCATCACTCATTTTTAGATGGAAAACAAAGATGAATAAATGATCTAATTGCATGAGATAATAGAGCTCTTCGAGAGTTACAATTCGCATATCACATATTAAGGAAAACATGGAATCTAAAAGGTTACCTAAATAAAATCTTTTACCAAAATAGTCCAAAAATGAAAGCATCACAATATCGCGGACACATTCTTCGAATGCGGAAATCTTTCGGGATCTTTTTTTGAAGCGAAAACACTAATAATTAGAACAAGTAAACACATCATCAGAAAGAGCCCATCA